ACAAGTAAAATAAAGTTCTTGCAACGATTTCTAATTCTACTTGATCCTTGGCATAGTATTCACTCCACCGTCACTGCAAAGTTTCATAATATCTAATTTTTTAATAATAGATAATTATAGATTTATGAAATTTTATTATGTAATTTTTTCTAAATGTTTTTAGGATTGATTCTAATAGTAAAAAAAACGGTAATGAATCATTTTACTTAATTCCAATCCACAATTCTTCTTTAAAAATTCAAAATATTTAATCCACAAATAAAAACAGAAAAAAATAAATTTAATTGATATCAATATTTTAATTCACAAGTTAAATATTTTCGTCTGATTTTTATTTTACTCCATCGAATCATTTTTATGTTAATTTATCTTGAATTATAATTCTACATTTTAATTGAGCTAAATAGGTTTTGTAAAGTAGATATGATTTAATATAAATGTAGAAATATATTTTAAATTAAATTTAAAAAAAATTAATAATTATCTTAGTATAATGCAAATTAAAATAATGTAGCATTTAACATAGAAATTTCAAAATTACAATAAAAAAATCTCTTTAGCCAGTTGATTTGATATTTAAGGCTATAAGAAATATAATTAAACGACTTACAAATTTTATATTAAAAGCAAACTTTTAATGCTGAATGGCTATTGAGTTAATTTCATATTATTCTTAATAGAATAGATTGTTAAAAAGGTGTAGATATTAGATTTCCAAATAAGTTTATTAAGTTCATAAGTTTCTTTTCTTTTCCTTTTGTTTAATAAAAGATATAATGTGGTCAAATAAGAATCGTGTATTTCGCCACCACTTGGATTCAGAAAATAGTGAGCAGAATATCAAATATAAAAAGTTTTCAAAGTCTCAATATGAAGCTACCAGACAAGTAATTAATTGGTGTGCACATTAATGTCTTTTGATGAATGTAAATGTAGATATTAGTCAATATATGGAATGTAGTATGATTTTTTGTATAGGAAATGTTATATATTATTTTAATATCAAATTTGAAAACGCTGTCTCAGTCTTAATTTTTTCATAAACTAGTAGATGCACAATAGACATGCAAACATTCAGTAGAATTTGATTCCCAAAAAATGGAATTTTTAGAATACATATCTTTATTTTAATTTATTTACAAAAAAAATATCCTTAATGGCCCTCCCAAAAAATCTACAACTAATACAACCAATATATATATATATATAAACATGTGTCCCTCCTCATGCATGTCACCTTTCCATTCTCCAACTAAAGTACCCACACATTCAACCAATTTCTTTTTGCAAATGTTGTCATTTAATTATTCATTTTTTATTGGTTTTTGTGACTTTGCTGGATTCTTGTAATTCCTGGTCTTGATTTCATATTGGCATTTGGTCTTTAAATTTTTTAAAAAATCATGAAAAAAGAGGTGGATTCCACACAACTGGTGGTGTCTGTGTACCATGTGGCAAGTTTGGTTCTTCATGCAAATTCCGTCCTATCCTGCCCTCCCCTTCTCAAAAGGTTGACATAAATGGGTCAATTCCAGCCACACCCTTGTCATGTTTCCGAACGGAAAAGTATCTTGTGGTGGATTCTAGAAAGAAAGAAAGAAAGAAAAAGTTGTGTTGGAGAACCTCCCGAGATGCTTTTCCATTTGGAAACATGTCATGGGGGCTACCAAAATTGTGGTGGATACATATATATACATATATATATATATATATTTTGGATCCAACTCTTAATGGTGTTTTGTGTTCATTTTTTAACTTCTTTGCAATTAATGTTGTGGACAATCACAACAAGTTCCTCTTGCACTTCATCATGTATTATTTCCTTTCTTTATTGGATGATGCCACTAAACATGCCCGATATTATCCTTGATTTTCTTATGTTGTTTTAACCCATTCATGTACATTTGTGTTAGAAACAAATGTGCCTTTGTTACATGTTAAAGTATGGTATTTGTAATAAGTATGATATTTGTTGCATGAATTGCATTGATGAAATGGATGTCTTCTTAAGTAGTCTTCATACAAGAAGCTCACTTTACTAAGCCATAGTATGAAAGTTCTCAAAAGGTTTTGTTCTACTTGGTGAAGAATTGGTTTTTTTGTTTCTTTTATTTTTTTTTCTTCTTAAAATTTAATTTTTTGAAATGGAAATGATAGAAAGCAAGGAGAGAATATATATTGGAATTTTTTTTATTTTTTATTTTTTTATTTTTTCTCCTTTGGTTTTATTGTCACAAGTCTTAATATATCAGCTTGAACTGAGGTTCTAACAATTGTATCAAACACCAGAATTTTTGTTTAAAAAAAAAAAAAAACAAACAAACAAACAAACAAATAAAATAAAACAAAACAAAACAAAAAAAATTCTAGTATATTTTTCAAGTTTTTATAAAAACCAAATCTTCACATGGGCTTATTGGAATAGAGTGTGTTTTATTGAATCTTTTTCTTCTTAAGAGATTTAAACTAGTTTTCTGGAGTATGAAGCCAACTGAAGAACGCAACATGCATTAAATAGAATGAAATATAACTTTTACCAAAGTTACATAAGCTAGAGTGGATAATGAACATATGAATAAAAAAAACAAAGTAAACTAAATGCCACCATTGAAGTATGGAAAAATTCTTTTTACATGAAAAGAATTTGCATGATAATTTAAACAATTTTCACTTTTAAAAATAAATAAATAAAAATTACAAGAAAAACATACATGTAATCAAAACATTTCTAATTTGTACTATTTATTTGAATTGTAATGTGTGAAATAATAATTAAATCCTGTTTGTTTATATATATATATATATATGTGTGTGTGTGTGTGTGTATTTTGGATAAACGTACTCTTTGAGAAATAATAGATCATAGTAAACACTTATGTAAGAGCATGTAAGTATGCCATTAATTTTCTTTTATTTTTATTAACAATCTTTTGATGTTATTGGCGGTGATTTCATTTCAAAATGGTTTAAAACATAAATAGATACGATAAAAAAAGGTTTAAATGTTTCTATATATATATATATATATATACATATATGGAAACTCAAGTTTCAAAGAAACAAACAAGCTTATAGTTGAAAGAACTTAATGTGTGGTTTTTTTTGTTGGGGTTTGTAATATATATATATATATATATATATATATACATATATATTATGAGAAAATATGTTTAAATAAAATAAATTTGCAAATGTCGTCATTAAAATTATAATACGAATATTTTAAAAACATGGGTTTTGGTTGTTCATCACAAAATATGACTAATGAATGAACAGTTGATGAAGTTGTATTTCATCTACTTCCACTCTTCATTCGTATTCAACAGGGGGGGTATTAACCCTACAAGCCAATCTTGGTAATGAACAGAAGGATGAAAAATCGGACCACTGTGGATGTTAACTTCATGGTGAGTGGTATCCCAGGGGAAGCTTCTTAGGAAGCACCTTCGTGAATCTAAGCCACGTCAGCGCGGGTGAGCATCCACATGAAGGGTCCGTGGCACCAATCGGCCGGGCACCCGCGATTTCGTGGTTTCCGACAGCCAAATGGTGATGCGGTCATGGGCCAGATGCCTTCAACGGCACCTAAATCCGACGGTCCTCCTGTCTTCGTGCCCCGTTCGACCTATTAACGTGGACTTTTACAAACTCCGAAGTGCTCGGGGTACCGTTCTCTTCTGGTTGCGGGGATAGAAATTAATAAAACAATAATAATAACAGCAAAATTTGATGCTTAATTAAGGTCAAGTGAAATTAATCTGGACTTTTGAGTGAGGTGCAGTTGTCACTTCGTCCCCTAAATATATATATATATATATATGCCAGAATGTTAAATAGACCCACGTTTTTACTAAATTTACTCAACCATCATGAATAAGAAAAAAATAAGCATGTATAAGAGAACCCTCGAGATTCATTTTTCCACTATTGGATCCAAAAACAATGAAAACCAACCACATTCACCACAAATACCATATTCTTCATCATGGGTAGGTCAATTTGGTAAAAACATGAGTCTATTTAACATTCCCCTAATTTTATTTTTATATATACAAAATATGTAATGTAGCGCATGGAAGAATGGTAGAGCCATAAATATCAATTGTACACCTGTGAATTGTTAAGCAATTTGTAGATGAGAAAATTCTATCTTCTTTAGCAACTTGTTTTCCCAAACATTTAAAATATGAAAATGTTTTGAATATAAAATCTTTGGTCGATGACTTGTGCAGTACATGTTGCCTGATAGTTTTAACAGCACTGTGAAGTATGTCATTGTCCAAAAACAATGTTTACTGTACAGAACTTATATGCTTTTAGGTGTTGCCAAACAAATGGCTGCTAAATTCTGGTGGCTCATACATATACCAAATGTTTTCGTTAAGTTTTCTGAAACAAACATCCAAAGATATATATTAGCTTCACGGAATGGAAGTTACAATACACAACAACTTGCAAAATTATCAAAACTTCAAATGTTAGAATAATGGCAAGTTTAATGCATGTTCCAATAGTAAGGTATACTTGAACTTGTGACTAATGGACTTGTGCTCAGCAACAAGAACAAGCAAATCATTCATGCAATAAGTTTTTACTCTACAAGAGTCGAGTTTTACCTCAAGGTTGAAACCATTCATCCAAATCTCACAAGATCACTGAAAATGGTTTCTTATGTTACAAGCAGTAAAATTCATGAAACAAATATTCAAACAACCCAAAATTTGAAAAATGAGAACCAAAAACTTTTACGAAACAAGCCCTTGAAATCTCAAGAACTAAAACAAAATAAAACAACAATGTAGCACAACCAGAGGAGTGGGGTAAATTAGGGTGTAAAAATTAGGGCTTGAACTGACCACGCTTATCTGGACCGGCTACGCGTGGCTTTCTCGCGCATCGAAATACTCACCATAGTCGTCGCTGTAGCCTCCCGAGCTATGGCCACCATCAACATTGCCTTTTTCTCTTTTATGGGTGTTTTTTAAAGGGTTGGTTTTACGTTGTCTCCCCGAGAAGCGGGGGGAAGACGGAAGCAAAACCACGAGGAAGACGACGCCACCGCCGGGCAGATAGCAGCAATTATGGAGCATCTGTAGTCCACTATATACTCCCAGCCTTCCTGCTTCCCATTTTTTCTCCCCTCCGTTGCTTTGTCTCTGGAGGTACGCTGTTGCCCGAGGAGTATCTCAGATCGCAACATTCACCGCGGGTTGGTGTCTAGCAGCAGTTATGGAGCATCCTTAGTGTCCTACTCTATGCCAAGCGATTTCAATTCAGGTCGACCACCGAGCTTGTCCGAGTTCCGTCACGGTTGTGGTTGTACGCTGTTGATGGGTCTCCGCGTTGGGTTTGGTGCCTCGGCTATCGCCTGGTGAGCTTGCTGCCGAGTGGTGCAGTCCTGTCTCCGCGTAGGAGGCTTTGTTGGACTACCGAAAGGTGCGTAGGGTCAATTTTTTTCTTGGCTGTTTCTAATGTGAGGTTTGTAGTTCACCCCTCCCTCCCTGGTGTTAGCTGTGTCAGAATGTCGGACTTTTGAAAAGCTTCTCGGTTTCGAGTGGTCTGTGTTTTGTGTGGGAAAGTGCGGCGAGAGCTTGCATTGGAGAGGACCGGATCTGGAAGGAACGCGACGCTATAGTATGTTAGAAGTTCTGGTGAAGAATTTCACAGGATTTGAGTTTCTCGCTCAGCATCATCTCATTTTCTTTGAAGAATTGTTCGAATGCTTTGATAGACTTCGAGGTTTTGATGTATGGTACTGCATACGACCATGCAGTTGTTGCACTCGAGTCTCCGGTACGAAACCGCGTTTTTGCTGTGCATAGTTCTGCACAGTGTCACTGTGCTGAGGTGTCTTTATGTAGGTGATGCATCTTCGAGAACTTCCGTTGTCCGTATCCCGCCAATATTGACTACTGAATCTACTCTCGAGTCCTGAAATAGCCATATGATGTATTTTAACTCACTTCGATTGACTATCATAAATACTTTTTATAGCTTCTACTTGATTCATTGACCGTTGCTGCATCGATTCACTCGCTTCCATCATTGGATTCCATAGTTTTTGACGTGGTTGTGTTTCTGGGAATGGCCCTTTGACATTGGGTGTGTGCGTGCGTGTGTGTGTTGTCTTTCCCTTCTTCCTCCGGTGTTACGGGGTAAATCAACCAGCTAACTGTTTCGTTGTTGCGGAGCGCAGAAGGTTCATTCAATTTTCCACTGTAGGACTTCTTGATATTGAAGAAAAGTTTGAAGCCTTACTACCACACTTCACCATGTTGTGTCTTACTCTTGAAGGCACCGCTATCTCCTGAAGATTTTGAAGCAACCCTGGCCTTCGAAGAGACATCAAGCATTTGCGTGCCCGGCTTGCGTTCCAGTAATCTGGGGCTGTTTTCATCACCACCTTGCAGACCTAAGAGGTCGTGGTATGGCACATCTCCATACACGCAACGCTCGTGGAAGTTCATACGCATAGCCGACTCCTGGCACATATCGGATCTCATACCGCACTGAGTTTTGTTACAGAAGACCATTCTCTCTCTCAACCCACCAGTCTCCTGTTTCGTACGAGTGGTAGGCTTGCACTGCTGTTTTGCCTATTTTATGATGAACCACGCCTCAACACAGTGCAAGTGCGAATGGAGCTTTCTATCACAAAGCTCGGATCTGAACAGACTGAGGAGTCCCCTGAAAAGGATGAAGAGGGTAGTGAATCCACGATGGATCCTGCTATCTGGGGACGATTACATGGAGAGCTAGTAGACAGGATCCTACTTTGTCTGCCAATTGTCAACTTGTACCCTCTTCGGTGCGTGTCCAAGTCATGGGATACCACTATCAAGTCTACGAGCTTCAACAGGATGTACCTAGAAATGGAATCTCGGGGTCCTCCGTGGTTCTTCATGTGTTCCTCATTCAATTGCCGGTATGTGTCTCCCATGGACATGCACTTCTGTTTTCTGAACGTTTATACACAAGATTATTCAAGTGGATAGAATTGCTCACATACCTACTGAGTAGCAAAGAGTCATTGAACCGATTTTGCTGCTTTTGGCAGGGACAACACAAGCGCCTATGACCCAGTGCAAAATCGTTGGCACAACTTCCCCCTCACCTTTCTACCTGCCCACATGAGGTTTCCTCTGACAGCAGTTAAAGGCTTGCTGCTTGTGAGAGGGGGTATAACAAACGCGGGAATGTTGGCAATATGTAACCCAATCACCAGGGCTTGGCGGGAACTCCCACCTATGATCCACAAGAGATTGAATTCTCTTGTAGGTGTTTATGAAGATAAGCGCACCGATAGCTACAAGATTGTTGTTGCTGGTGGAACTTGTCAAGGTGGTGAATACGAGTGCACCACCGAGGTTTACGATTCCTTGACTAATTCTTGGCAGGTTTGTTTATTCAGTGCTATTCACTTTACTTGGGAGCTCATTTGCCATTTGACAAGAGTTTGTGGCACTCATCGTTTCCTCGACAATTCTATTAAGTTGAATAGTAGCACACAAACTGGATGTCCTTTTCGTATTATTTTTGGTTAGATGAATTTTCGGATTAGCTGTAATTAAACTCACATACAGGTGCAATTTCCTTGTTCTGGCAGGTCACAGGCAACGTGTGCAAGGAGTTTACAGTGCGTATTACTTGGTGGACGTCGAAGACAGTCTTCTCTGACGGGGCTCTGTACTGCCTTACATCTGGGCGACCATACAGTATCATTGCGTATGACTTGAAGACGGCGACGTGGAATGAGGTTGCAGTACCCCCACCTGAGTTCCTCTCCTGTTCGTTCCTCATACAGCGCCGGAATCGGCTGTTTCTGGTGGGCGGGATTGGTCCAGAACGGACTTGTGAACACATTTACTTCTGGGAGTTGAAGCAGGTTAAGGGCGAGAAAAAGCAGTGGGTGGAGGTGGAGAAAATGCCCCACGAATATTTTCAGGTCTTCTTCAAAGACAAGGCTTCCTCAGATCTCAAGTGCGCTGGACATGGCGACCTGGTTTACTTCTACAAGGATTCTCACACTCAGGTATCTAGTTTGTTCCAAATATTGTGACATTTACATAGCTCAAATTATTGCAGAGCCTGTGTCGAGAGAACCATCAAACTCACCACGACTAACATAATACAGTATTAACTCACAACTGGGTATTTTGCAGGTGCTGTTGTGTGATTTCTCAAAGACACGGACTGAATGGAGGTGGCTTCCCAAGTGCCCTCTCAGTATGAGCTTTCTGAAGTTCTCCACTCGGGGCTTGTTCCTGGATCCCACGCTGGACGTTTCCTCCTAGTTCTTCAAACACGCAGCATGTACGAAATTTTTGAGAAGTTAGCTCCTTAATCAGTTCAAACAAAGTGAGTTTTGTCCTGTGAGGAAAAGACAAGCTTCTCATAATTGTGGTGATATTATTCAACTTACGTCTTGTTTTAGGCTCTCCGTATCCCTGCCGGAGAAGCTGTGCTGGGTGTTTCAGTAATAATCTCTTGGCGAAAGTTTTAGAATGTTGGCGCGGCCGTATATTCTACATGGGAAGGGGTCATAACCATAGATTGCTAGCTGAACATCTGGGATGGTTTACAATCTACAGTTACTTATCTCTTAATAGCACAATTGATGCTTAGCGATGCAGCAAGTAATGCTTAGTTTTGTGAGTTCCTTCATAATTTTAACCTGCTCTCTTCGAGGCACTATGTGTGCTTTCTGGGTTAACTCCAATTAACATGCATCTTTTTTTTCTTCTCCACTTAACATCCATCAACATGTTAAGTGATTCTAGAAAACACTGATATAATTTAATTGACGTGATTATGCTTTTACAGTCTTTGATATCAATACTTTTGTTTAAACATTGTGTATTGAGGTACTAAGGGGCTATTGGCATCATGAATATTAAAATAAAATGTGGTTATGCCCTATTTCCTTCACATAGTCAATAGATTTATTATTATCTTTATCTGTTAAAGTCAACTTTTTTGATAAAACTACAGAATTCTTACGTGGCAATGCTTGGAAATTCTACTTCGAAATGCTCAAAGCTGTAACACGATTGTAGCACAAATGAAAATGAAGCAACCAAAACAGTAATCAAGCGGATAAAGTAGTTCATGACTTGCAGTACTTCTACCTACCCTCAAGTAATTTCATTCTAAAGAAAATGTTCGTGTCAAAAAGGAGGTTTGAATTGATTTGAAGAGACTTTGCAGACTCTCACTCCAACTCAAAGAATACAAGTGTAATTTTGTATATATGTGTGTGAATATATAAATATATAAATATATATAAACATACGCATTCAGAAGCTGATTGAAAAACACTCCAATGATTTAAATAACAAAAAATGATTATTCAATAACTAGTATTTCTTTTCAATATTACTAATAATACTTATTCATCTTTAAAAAATAAAAAATAAAATGGATCTTGTTAAACATTAAGATGTGCTATACATTGCACATTGAAATCATGCACAATGATAATGAAGTATATCTTCTACAAAATAAAAAACTTAAATCCAGTGGTCGGAAAAGGCAAAAGAAAATGCAAAAAAGGAGAAGTATGGCAGCACAAAGTAACCCTCTGCACTGGATGCCCTACTTGCCCTTCTCCCTGGGTTCTAATACTTATACCCGTATCTAGACAGGGTATACACATAGATAGATTGATACCCTTTTGGGCAGGTAACTGCTGCTGAATTCAGCGCTTTCGAGGAACAGCGTTGTGGGGCACTGGATAACGTCGTCGCAGAGGGAGCTGAAGGTTTGGTCTCTCTCGGGTTTTGGGTTTAGTGAGGGGGTGGGGAGATTTGGGGAGCCATGGCTGCTGCTGCACGCATGCTGCCCGCGGTGGCTGCAGCGAGTGCCTCTGCTTCTAAACCGGGGTTGAGCCGCGAGGTTGCAATTTCGGGGAGTTTTGGAACCTGCAAGGGTTTTTGTAAGCTGCCTTGGATCACGACTCATGGGGCCTCTGGGCTGAGACAGAGCGCAGGACGCAACGACGTGGGTGCATTTGCCGTTGGAAGGAGGGCCTCGGGATTCTCCGGAAGTGGGAAGAAACCAAGAAGCGGTCAAAAGTTTCCCAGAAAACAGGTTTGTCTCACCGTTTTTCGTCGGTTCGAATTTCATGCGGAGTCTCTTCCTGTTGAGCTTCTGTTTCCAAGGAATGGTGCGTTGAGTAGCCATCTGAACGAGTGAGTAATACGACGTCAATTTGTGATTTGGGTAGCCGACTAAATGCTCATCTCTTGCCTCGAATTCAACGGAAGGTAGTTCTGTGTTTATTTAGAATCTCGAGGTTCTTTGATGTAGTGTTTGTGTGTTATTACTTCGGTAGTAAAGTATGGTCTCTGAGAAGGTATTGTGAAAGTTGCAAAATTAGCGTGGAGTTGGTTTGTCTGTTCTATTGATTACACATTCTTGTTTTCGATGCCTGTATTTATTTTTTTTGTTTTTCCCCTCTCTACTCAGAGACCCCCAGCAAACCCTGTGCTAGAGGATGGCGATGATGATGCGGCACTGGAAAGAGCAATGGAAGACCTTTTTGCACAACTAGAGATGGATCTGGAATCATCAGTTGCTGATAGCGGTGACGACGAGGAGTTTACTGAAGAGGAGTTGGCTCTAATGGCGAAGGAACTTCAAGATGCTTTTGATGAAGCTGGCCTTGAATTTGAAGGGTTAGACGATGAAGAAAGTGGTCCTAAGACAGTGGACATGTTCATGAAAGATGGTATGTACTCTGACGATTCTGTTGTTCATAATCGCGGGGAGCAAGAGGAAGAAGACGAAGATGAAGAGGGGGTTGAGGACGAAGACGAGGAAGATGAAGAAAGAATGGTGCCTCTGGAGAAGTGGCAACTTCGCAAGCTAGCTGCTGCAGCAGAGAAGGGTCGTCGAAATGTTAATGTAATCATCTCCCATTGCTCAAACCTAAGTATGTATGTTTCGAAGTTCTTCATCTTATCTTTCTGCATGCATTTTGGGATGCAATATCATTATAGCTTAGACAAATAAGCATTGGTGAGTAAATGTTCTTCTGATTTTTTCTTCAGCAGACCTTGTCTGTGGAATGTTGATGTTAGAGACCACCTGCGCAAATTTGTTTTACTCGTGCGTTGTTTAGGACGTGGACGAGGTTTCAAACTTCTGTTTTTATGCTGAGGAACAGTTTTCTCTTGCATCAGGTGAAAATATTGTCTGCAGAGCTCGGAATGGATCGTGCGGATGTCCTTTCGTTTCTTCGAAATCCACCTCCAGAGCTTTTGCTCATGAGCGATGAATTAGAGAACGAGGTCGCAGAAGCTTCAGAGCGTGCCGAGGCTAAAGTTGAGAAAGCTCCGAAGGTAGCTGCTGCCTCTCGGAAGCAACCAGCGCCGCCGCTAAACCCTTCCGGAGGTCCTCAAAGTCCTAGGAGCTGGCATGGTAGCAAAAGATTGAAAAAGGAGCACATAGCAACATTTGAGCGTGTGTACCGGAATTCTACTCGACCATCGGTAAATACTTCTGACTTCTCTGATCTTTTTACCATTTTCCAGTATAGTTTGAATTGAAAAGTTTTGCTCTCTGCTGTGTGTTTCATCTCTTCCATTGTTCCTCTCCATTTTGCCGTTCTTGAGTTCGTCAAGAGTGTATTGCATGCTGACGAGTAGTGCACTGCATTTTCCTTCCATCCTTCCTTGCATTCCACCTATGTGATAGAAACTTGTAATTGGAAAACACCTACTAGGAACTATTGCAGTCACTTTCCGTTGTGCCCAGTCTACGAAGTAACTACTCATTTGTATTCGTATCTCATAAATATTGCATCTGGATGGGTTCAGTTTCGCCATTTCATACTCACATCTAGTTTTGATAAGTTCCAGGTCATTGCAATGAACTGGTGAACTCTCGCAGCGTAAGGAATTAACAGTTTGTAATTTCTGGTGCAGAACGCAATGATTGAAAACCTCGTTAATTTGACACACGTTCCCCGCAAGAAGATATTGCAATGGTTTGACGACAAACGGGCGGAGAATCAACCCAATAAGTCGTCCTTCGAGAATGCCCCGAAAATTGATGAAAGTGCCAATTAAACTGTATTCTAGTACTGCTAGCTTAGTCACAATATATGCTTGCATTGGCCACGGAGGGATTGGAAGATAATCAATGTAGTTATTTTTTATTTTTTATTTTACTGTATTCACATTCTGGAGAGTGGCTCTATTATGCACAGCTGGAACGTGCCTGCAATTCATTTAGTAAGTACTCTCAAGACACGGTTGTTTCAACACAAAACTGTTTCTGATGAAGGACCAAGCCAAAGGGAGTGAGGGCGTACGATACAATCTTTAGTATTGGCGGAACACAATGATGTGCAAATGCCTTTGTGGCTTGCTCGTTTATTTTCTGTGAGCTATGCACTGCTTGCCGAGAAATTATATCTAATTGTTATAAATAGATAACTAGCTTCTGCTTCATTACCTGTTTCCCTCTCGAATAAAGATAGGCATCTGAAGTAACTTTGTAAACCTGAAAACTAGAAACTAGAATTCCTGCCCAGTTGTCATGCCCGTGATGTTGCTCCAACTTCTTGTTCCATGTGCAGTTTATTTGACTAAAACTGTTGAACTAGAAAACGTAGTTTCTTCTAAAATAAGTGCTTGTTATTGAATGGTATGATTTGAAGATTGAGTAGTAAATATAGGGAATGGGGAACTTATTTTACTGATGAAAATGACTTTCTGTGTGTGTCATTTTCTTCGCTTTTAAGTATTTCTAATTATCCTTTTAAATCTTCATGCGTTTCGGTCCACATTCTGAATCTCCTAAATGGTCTATATACTTCAATATCATCTATTCCGAAAAGCTGATTCCCAGGAGATGTAAACATTACACTCCGAAGTTCCGAAATTCTAGTACATGAAACTCACTTTCCAGGGCGTAAAAAACATGAAAAATTACAAAATAGGCCAGGTCGATCTTACGGGACTAGTGCTGTCCCTTCGTGCAACCCACCCTGGAGAAGTCCGTTTGTCCCTCGCACGTGGTTGGCGAATTCTTGGGATCTGCTCCATTTTCAGGTCCTTCATGTGATTCTGCGAACATTCTCGGACAGGCAGAGAAGTCCAGGAAGTGGGATTCTCTTCATTGAGGGAGGTTTTTCTGCGTTTCACGTCGGTGGTTCAGAGAGGAAGATTACAATGGAGTCTCTGAGCATCTGGTTGTTGTTTGTGGGTTTTTGCCGCCTCTCCGCGGTCTACTTCGGCTTCTTCAATGTGTGGGCGCTTCGCGTCGCTGTCTTCTCTAAGCTCAAAACCAGTAAGCGCACTGAACTCTCTTACTCAAGAATCGAATGCGAGTTATACCCTTCTATTTACTTCCACCATTTTCATAAATCTGTGGTGGGCATTCGAAGCAATGCGGAGTATTGACAGTATCCGTGTTCCGATTATGTGACATTCGTGAGGTTGCTGGATTGCAGTGCAGGATGTGCACGGGCGGACATTCGGAGTCTGGACCCTATTGACATGTCTCCTGTGTGTTATGACCGCTTTCAACCTCGACAACGAAGCTCTATACCTCGTGACGTTCCTCTCCTTCGTGTTCGCATTGGGGTATTTCTTGATTGAGTGCTTCATCTACCAGACCATGGCAGTCAAGAATGTGGCGAGCTTGTTTTTCTTCGCAGGTAACCGGGTCTCGTATTCCTCCCCTCCATTTCAATCAGCCATGCCTTGCAGATATTTCACAGATGATCTTTTCCATCTTGTGGGGTTTTTGGCTTTCCACTTATGCGTCTCTCGGGAACTTGTTAGTGTTCACTGCATAACATTAGGGTTGGTTTTTTTCTCAACGCAGGGGGTTCTATCATATGGATGAGCATAGAGTGGAACAAGCATCATGGACTGGGAGTGCAGTATCAGGATTGAATTCTTCTTGGGGTGTTTGCACAGCACCATTTCGCATCAGCGTGGCATTGGTTTAGAAACACAGCCCGGTCTGGTATGTTTGCAAAATAGCTTTGAGAAACAGGGTTTGGATGGGAGTTGGAATAGGGCTCAGTTTGTTATATTTTTTTCAGATAGTCTCGGATCATTTTCTGAGCCATCCAGTTTAGGTTGTTGTTGTTGTTGTTGTTTTTTTTTTTTTTTTTTTTTTTTGTTTCAACATCAGGAGTCAAGAGTGATTGTGTATTGATGAAATGGAAAAATTCATTACTAAAAGCCTTGGAGAAATCTCCAAAGGTGCAACTTTTCAAACTATGTTTTATTGCATTTATTTATTTATTATTTATTTTCGTATTCTAAAAAAGTGTTTGTAGGTTTCGTACCTTGAAACACAAAGTGTGACATTGTCACAAGGCTCCTGAAGGACGCTTTTTATAGCCAAATTTCCAAAATTATCATTTTCTGTATTTTTTGTATTTGTTTTTGTATTTTTGTGTTCTTTAAAAAATATGTCAATTGATATTTAATCTTATATTATTATTTTTTTAAGTGAAAATTAGATCTTATATTGAGGAATTCTGTTGATATTTTGAACTGTCTATAATTAGAGCTGACTTGCCTTTTATGGAAATAAAGCTAAATCTTAATTTAGATGGACTAAATTTATACCACGGGGACAGAATATTATTGTTCCTTCAAAATGTATAACTTGGCTCCAATGTCAATTCTTGGATGTTTCTAAACTTTAATAAGTAATATTGGATTTCATAGAATTTTATTGCATTTTAAATAACAAATAATAATCTTTATGTAATTAGAAAAAATTAAATACTTCTTTATGAATAGTTCAATGTAATGACATCATAAGCTTTTTAAGTACATATGAAGTTTGTTATTGATCTAGTTAAAACTATAAAAATTTCAATTATAACCATACATAAATATTTTATGGAATCTCTAAAAAGTAGAGAACAATACTTGATATTGCAATTTTTTTGAATTGTGACTAGGAATTCCACTAGTTTTGTATTTGTTTTTTTCTCAAAATTTTGTACTAATATTTCTTCCTTTCATAAAGAATAAATTTATTAGAAATAAATTAGGAACATTTGAAAATAAAAAAATTGTAATAGAATATTCAAACAGAGTAGTTGAGTAAAAATTTTCCTCAAATACTTTGTTTGAATATGGATAAATTAAATTACTTGTATAAACTATACATTTAAAAACATTTAAAAATATAAAAGTTAACAATTTGCACATGTTAGTGCATTATTACATTTTAGAAGTAAATCATTAAGTCCAAGTAATTTATAATGGTAATTTGTAAAAAATTCTATCTCTCTTTCTCTCTATACATATATTTCTAAAATTAATTATTTTCAGAAAATAAACTACAAAAATGTGCTAATTTGTAACTTTCTTAAAAACACATTAGATAGGTGCAGTAGACACTCCTACTAATTTTAAAAGCTTATGTTCTTATGTACATAAGCTTTTAATTTTAAAAACTTATGTCCACTTTAAGCAAGTTTTTAGAATTAAAAGTCCAATCTATTTGTAACTAACTCAAAAAAAACTCATGCTTCAAGCTAAATAAGAAAATATATTTATAATAATATGTATTTATAATATATTTATTATAATAACATAGTTAAATAACATTCTTTTTTTGACAACTAACAAAAATAATGTAATATTTCAAATTTAACAAATATTTTTTAAACAAAAAATCTGTTATTATTACAATATTTATTTTATAATATACATATATATATATATATACTTATATACATATATAGGTGATAGTACATCTTATATGAAAATAAAAGTTTTTATAACTATTATTAAATCTATCTTGGTGATTTTGATTTTTTGAAATATATATATATATATATATATATATATATATATCTATGTGCACATATTGTGTATTATAATTTTATGGTAAGAATATTTTACAGCTTGTTATATTTTTCAATCATAGAGTTTAGTTTAATAAACTTACTAACTATAAAAAAAGTAAAAACTATCCATTATCATATTTAAAGTTTACCAACCTAATCTACTAATATTTCCTTCAGAAGGTTGAAGTATCATTTTTTAAAAAAGGTCTTTAAAACATGAGTTAAGAAAAATAGAAAAAAAGAAAAGAAAAAAAAGAGAAATATTTATAATATGTTTTTCCATGGCTATTTTTTATGCTTGGCATTTAGTTAGATTTTTTTTTTTTTAAATAAAAATAAATCTTTATTCTAAGTACATTGCAAAAATCAAAATAATAGTAAAAATAAAAAAATACTAGTTTTGTAATATAATTTTTCTTGGTTAATTTATAAGACATAATATTTTTTTTTACTTTTTTAGTTTTAGTTGTTTTAGTTTTAAAAACATATTAATTTAGGTTGTCAATAAAAAACTAATATAAAAATAGTTTCATGTTGAATATAATTTTATTCTCGTAGTTTGATTTGTTTAGGGTTACAAAACGTGATATCTACAAAAATCTTTTTATCTGTTTTTACTAATTATTTTAACACTGATATAGTTATTCATAGGTGCACTTTTGAGATTTCAAAATTACAATAGCTATATATTACAAAGATTAAATCCAAATAAACTTTGTTTTTTTGACATTGATTAATTTATTGAATAAAAACCTAAAATTATTTTACTCAATAGTACTTATAATTTTTAAGTAGTTGTATTATATTATCTTCTATAAATTTGGTTTATGTTATTTAGTGAACTTGCAAATATCTATAATAGAATTAGTACAAATATTTATTTTTTAAATACCAAAATTTTATCTTTGTTTTATGTTTTAAATTTAATATTTTACTATTTTTATTATTTTACAAGATAGACATTTTAATATTTATAATTCTTTCTATCAACTTAAGATGTATAATTTGAATAAATTCTTTTAAAATACAATCTTTTTATAAAAAAATATTTTTTATTATAATTTAATCATTATTTATATATTATAAAATAGATATATTATTTTCTATATATATATATAGATATATATATATAGAGAGAGAAAGAGAGAGAGAGAGAATTGTAAACACTATAGTCCTAATTGATATAGCTATAGCCTAATTAATACTTGCCAAAACTATGAGGAGGTTAAAGGGAGGAATAGCTCTCCCTTAAGGTGGTCTTACTAACAAGTCAATGGGCAAAGTTGAGGAATTGGCCATCTTAGCAAAGTCATGGAAACACAAAGAGAAGCAAAGAAAACAAATAATATGAGAGACAATTTCAAAGACTAGCGTTCCAAAAAAGGACTTCTTTAATTTAAAATGAAGTTTTACAAATAAAATCCAAAAAAAGAAATTCTTTTTGAGGACTTTGCTTCCCAAGACCCCTAACAAAGGAGTTGCTTCTTAATCCTACTTGTTGACTAGTCAGTAGGAATACTATAGAAAAATGTTGCATCTCCTATAATTTCTTATAGGTATGGTAGGATTAATTAGGGTGTAACAATATCAATTCGGGATGTAGCATTGATAATTTACTACGTATATAGCTTAGTAGGTATTAATGTATAAGTTAAATAATTTTATAAAAATTAAATTATTCATATTAATAATATATTTTCCTAATTATTTTTGTCTTATTATATAAAAAAAATTGAATACTTGAATTTAAAAATCTAAATAAATCTTTGCTACATTTAATTAATAGAAAATATTTTTTCATGTTTTTTTTATATATTCAAAATAAGCTATTTTTTCTAAATATCAAAATATATCCACTAATAATATTAGATAAAAAATTTACTTTGGTTTAAGACTTAGATTTTGTTTATATTGTATTATAGATTGTAAAAAAATAAAAAATCAAATAATATATGATTTAGTCTCTGGTTACTATGCCTCACTTTAATATTTTAGTTTTTTTATTAATGATATGATTATTTATAAATATTTTAATTTGAAGCTCTTTTCTTTTTTAGATGTTAGAAGGATATATAAATATCATAATTTTACTCCAAGGATTATATATTAAAAAAATTAAATTAAATTTTATTTTTAGATTATACATAAAAATTAAGCCACAAAAATGAAGTGGTTCAATTCTTAGATTTTAGATATTACAATTGAATATATAACTATTCAAATGTCCAACCCCATATGCTATGGAAGTAGCTTGTATTATATTAATACTCTTTTTCAAATTAAAATCAATATCTTTGATACCTAATTGAAATTTGGAAATATTGAATCTATCTTTGAATAAATCCTTGATGAAAATATTATCAACTTAGTAATATGTAGAAACACAAGTGGTATTTTTTTTCAGATAATAAGTTTTTTTCATAAAGTGATAATGAAATTTTATGTATATGGTCTTATTATAAGCAAATAAAAAATTGATTAAGAAAAATATGTCTTAATTTTCTTGATCATAATTTTTTAATTGCTTATAATAAACTACTTGATTAAGAAAAATATGTCTTAATTTTCTTGATTCTCTCATCTATTTGGTAGCAATATAAAAGGTTATTTTTGTGTCATTTGATTTAAAATTTTATTTTTAAAAATCATCTAATATAGCTTCCATCTTCTCAACATAGCTAATGATACAATAATGTGTATAGAAGTCATTTTGGATATTGGACTAAAAGTCTTTTAAAATTGATGGTACATTACTTTGCACAACTATTTATAAGGAATCTTATATTATATTAGTTTATAATATTCTCCAAATTCCTCTGAACTTTAAAAATCTACATACAAGAAATAATCTTTTTATTAAACAACCAACTCCTACATTTGTTGTTGCATGATTACAAATTTGAATTCTATGGCTTGCATCTATTTTTTGTTGTGATAGAACTAATTCTTGATCTTTTGTTTATGAGAAGGTTCAGTCTCAATTCCTAGTTTATGCTTAGATGAATTTGAAGCATAAACATTGAAAATACATAAAGTATTTATATTACATTATTTTTTCTTTATTTAATGCAATAAAGGTTTATAAAAAATTTAATAATTAGGAGGTGAAATAAAAACCTATTTCAATCAAAGATTATGTGTAGGCATCAATTTAAAAATAATGTTAAAAATTCTTGAACTGTTAAATTGAAATATTAAAGGAATAACAAAAATTATAGATATAATACATGTAAGACACGGCAGCTTAAGTATAGAATATAATAAGACTTAATACCATTAGTTTAGGTCATTAGAAACAACATCTTTATTCATAAGAAGAACTTTCAAAATATAATTTTAATACTAATATATTTTTTAATATAAATTATTTATATATTTATATATTAAATATATTTAAAACCTTTAATCTAACATATTTTTATCCTTATCAAAAGT